AAAAAAAAAAAAAGGGATACTCACTAACTTTGGGCAGAAAGCTGACCTTGGCTACTCCAGACACAGAGGAACCTACCAGTTTGTTCCAGGTGTCCCCTTGCCGCTTGGCTCTTGAGGGAAAGACAATGCGCACCAGAAGGCAGGTCCAGGTCAGGGCCAGCAAAGCAGCTGAGCCACTGCTCTTACTGCAGAGGGGAAGGAAGGCCAGAGAAGGAGTTAAGTCTAGAGTAGCCATCCCCATCTTGAGGACAAATGTTCATCCTAAGGCCCTGCCTTATAATGTAGGGCCCTCCCTTGACCTAATAGGGCAGAACTTGAAACTAATTCCGCACAAGGCTTCTAGGATAACTGAGGACAAGGAGTCTAGGCCTTATTAGCCAAACTCCCATCTCTTGGTATTAACAATAAAACAAAAAGATGGTTTCCCCCATTCAGGGCCTGGTGGGTAATTGGTTCCCCTCAAAACAGCCTTCTTCCCACTAGCTTCCCAGCACTGCTACAGAGTAAAGTGGTATTCTCCACTGAGTTTGCCACCCCAACTCCTCCCTCTGCTCAGAGGCAGAATGCAGGTGCCATTCAGAGTGTGAAGGCATGCTCACACCTGCTCAGCATGCTCAGCTATACCAGCCGCCTCCTAAGCAGGACTCCAGCAATCCCCAAGGAGCCACGACATTAACCACTTACCTGGGAACGCCTGCTTTGGAGCCAATACCTGAAGACTGCAGCGAGTGCAGAAGGTTCTTAGCAGTGGCTTCTGGCTGGGCCTCAGTCAACTGCTGGATGGCTGCCTGCAGGGCCCTGCGGGAAGCTGCATCTCTAAGAAAAGAAAAGGAGGAGTAAGGGGGAACATGAACTGGTCTCTCCTAGGAAAAATTGACTGCACTGTATTCTAGTGAATCACAGAAGAGGGACTAGGAAATAACTAGATGAATCCACCTCCTTCCCAGAGTTCTGAAAGTAGCTGATAAGGGCAGCATCTATATTAATGGAACACATACCAAGGCCTCAAACTAGGCCAAGTGCTTTTACGTGCATCAGTAATGGCAGTGACACACCTGAGCACTCATGGCACAGCAAGCACTGTTCTCAGCACTTCACCCTTACCAATAACCACCTATGAAGTAGATAACAGTATCATCCCCATTCCACAGACAAAGAAACTAAGGCACAGAGAGGTTAAGTAACTTGCCCAGGATCCAATAGCAAGGATGTGATACAAGCCAGATTTGGACCCAGGCAACCTGGCTCCAAAGCCTGGACTCTAAGTAACTGCCCTATATAGTCTCTCTGTACAAAGTGCTCTGGACACAGAGCCTCTGGCTGGGACTCACCTGTACCGATGCAGAGTCAAGCAGAATAACTTGCAGAGCCCTTTCACCGCTCCCTCTGGCAGATCTGAAACCAAAAATCACACAGAGATCGGTCAATAAAAATGACTTGGTAAGCAACTGCATGGGTCATGCATTCTACCAGATGTGATCTCAGCCCTCTGGACAATCCCTGTATAATTAAGATAGAATCTCTGAGAGAAAAAAAAATAATGACAAAATAAGACTATAGGAAAACACCTGGTACAGAAAAGCTTCAGAAAGACATTTGCTAAATGAACGAAACTAAGGCAACCCAAGAGCCATCAAAACCTCACACACTAATGAGTGGCGGTTCAGGAGTGCTAGAACTACCCTACTTCTTGATTTGGGTGCTGGTTACACAGGTGTGTTGCTTAATTTGTGATGATTCAGAGAGCTGTTCAGTTATGATAGTTTTATTTTTCTTAAGTATATTTCAGAGAAACACTTTAAAAAGCAGTACACAATTAAAGTACTAAGAGGGACCAGAAAAGGGTAAATCACCTATAACTGGACCAGTGTCTGTAATCTTAGCCTAATGGATTAGTAGGCTCTAGAAAGATGGAAAGAGAAAGAGGTGCTCAATGATTGGTGTTAACAACATGAGCAAAGCAGGGGATGAAGGTGTGATGCCTATTCAGGACACATGAGAAAGAAAAGGAGGCGGGCCAATAACACCCAACACTTAATTAGCACTCACAAGGTGCAGGCCTTGCTCTAAGCATTGCACACACGTGAACTCATTTAATCCATGTAAGGTGGCCACTGTCAGTAAGCCCATTTTAAGATAAAGAAATCAACTAACAGGAAGCCAAGCAAGCTGGCCAGAAAGAAATAGACAGTTTGGCTCAATAATGTTGGAAGGCAAACTTGTGACAAAGTGCTGCAAGCCAGACTGAGACAAAAGGGAGACGCTTTTGAGTAAGGGGAAACTTAACTTGTAGTATGAGACAGACTAACGTGGGAGGCACCGGAGGGCAGGAGACCTATGAAGGGCTCACACAGTACCTCATACTTCTGGCATCTGAATAATGGATGAGAAAGGAATAGGTACAGGGACCCAGTACACCCAGGGACCTGAACACTATACCAGGGGCATCTGATTGAGGGCCATTTCAGTAACTAAGGAAGAATGAGACTAGAAAGAGGTTGTAGCTAAGAGAATAACAGCAACAGCTAATACACACTGCAATATTACCAGGCAATTTGTTGAATTTACTTCTCACACAAACCGTATCAGGGAGGTACTACTGCTATCTTTTTGTTCAAAGCAAGGAAATAAGCTCAGAGAGGTAAAGTAACTTGAAGCAGGTCACGCAGCCTCTAAGCGGCAGAGCTGGTCTGCATCCTTCATCACTGAATGTTCCACTAGAAGCCTGTAGTTAGAAAGATCACTATCAGCTCGGCGCCTGTAGCTAGGCGGCTAGGGCGCCAACCACATAACACTGGAGAGCTCAGTGGCTAGGGCGCCAGCCACATAACACTGGAGGCTAGCGGATTCGAATCTAGCCCAGGCCTGCCAAACAACAATGACAACTACAATCAAAAAATAGCCGGGCATTCTGCTGGGCACCTGTAGCCCCAGCTACTTGGGAGGCTAAGGTAAGAGAATTGCTCAAGTCCAAGAGTTTGAGGTTACTATGAGCTATGACGCCACAGCACTCTACCCAGGGCAACAGCTTGAGACTGTCTCAAAAAGAAAAAGAAAAGAAAGAAAGATCACTGTCAAATGGCTATCTTGTCTAACCAAAATCCTGTTGAGAAAGTGACCAGAAAGACCTTTGAAGAGGCCATAAAACACATACACTGGCTCGGCGCCTGTGGCTCAAGTGGCTAAGGCACCAGCCACATACACCTAAGGCGGCGGGTTCGAATCCATCCTGG